GCACTATCTGTTAATGAACACTGAGCCCAGGACATACTACCTATTTAGTAGTTGTTTGCTTGTTCATAATTCAAGTTGGTTTTGAAGCCACCTACTCTAGCTCCTGCCTCTTGCTTGTGCTACTACAGGCGGGAGCGAGGACAGAGCAGAGATCGAAGGGGAGACTTGTCTGTATCCATAAGGGGGGCTGCCAAGAAGGAATTCATGTTAGTTTGGAAGAAGTCACACAGTCTATGTGTTTTTAAGGAAGCTCAGCAGCCCTAAAAAAAAAAGCATTTTTTACAGCACCGCTGCAATTTGGAGTGGGAAGGGAGGGGTCTGTGTATATGTGCTGCTGAGGTATTATAGAACCTAGGGAGAAGGGAAATTAAGTCAAAATCAAAGATGTCTCCTCCAACAAAATTTCCGTAAGAAACGTTACCACTGTCTGCCCCCCTCAAATTTATAACTTTCCAGACAAATGCTGCATCTTAAATCAGCTGAATGTCCAATAAAATCAGCTCTCCAGGAAAGCTGATAAAGGAATGTGTAATAAATAGAGCGGAATTAGAGAACAACAAGGATGAAGTAAATGCTGATGAAATAAGTAACAACATGGTGAAAGCTAACGGAAATTTGTTCTTCTACTGCTGTGTTCATTTAGCACACAGGAGAAAAAAAAAAACTTAAGCACAGTCATTACAAAAAACTATCGAAAAATACTTCAGTAAATTAAGGTATGTCGGTATATTAGTATTTTTTTTTATTCCATGATAATTAAAAAAATTGTTTTGATGTTATGCACTGTCAGATCACCAGCAGTATTAAGTCAACTATGAATTATATCTGAATTGAAATTACTATAAAAACGTATACATGATTTAAACCAGTACATTAATTAACCACCATTTACATTTTAACTGCAAGAGTAAAAGGAGTATATTTATTCTGCAACAGCAGAACAAAGAACTGTCATGTTTTTCTCAGGATAAATTAAAAAAATCACACTACAAGATCTTACTGCAAAAAATAACAACCATGTCAGAAATCCAAGATCCAAAACCTTACGCTAAATATACTTCCAATAAGCAGCATCTACCGAGCCTTTTAAACTGTTAAAAATACTCGGTAAAATCTCTCAGCATCTGGAACCTAGTTTTCACCTTTGAAGAAAAGAGCAGAAGACAAAAAAGAACAGCCTGTCCATTTCCAACTACAGCAGAGATGCCAGAGACACAGATTTACAAAGTGAGTATAGTGCGATAGGCATTTCTGCACCAAGACGGAAAGAAAAGGAACGAGGGTCCTGCCGATGCTTTGGCTGAAGCGTCTGGAAGAGACCTAGTGAGGGACCATCTGAGTCACATCTGGATCGAACTGTTCCAGGAATTTTCACTTTTAAGAACTCAAAAAAATATCAGTTTCAGAAAGAAAGAGAAAGGACATTGCCGGATGGTGCATACAAAATTTTCACGATCAAATTATAGTAAACACGCTGCTTTGTTTCATTAAGTCTTGTGCCAGAGCAAGATTATTGGAACATAAGACACGCAAATCCTATCGCAAGGCCTCTGCCTTAAAACTTTACTGCGGAGCGTATCTTTCTCAAGACGTGATGAATAACAAAAAAAAGCTGTATAGAAAAAGGATTGGGTTTCCCTAACACAATGTTTCTGAAGCTGCAGAGAATTTTTAAATCGATTTATTCCAAATTATAAAATATTAAATAAAAAAAATATATACAAAAAGCTGAATGTCACACACCCCATAGTCTTCTTCGGAATTCAAAATCAGCTGGTAGCCTTCACTTCTCAAATCTCCTTACTAAAAAAGCACTAGGGAATTGCTGACAGAGTTCAGCATTGTGCAGAATATTAAATATCTTTTTTGCAATACCCTGGTGACTCTTGAGTCTGTCTCTTACAGCACCATATGTACAGCTGTGTTGGAAAGAGGAAGCTATTAAATATATTAAAAAGTAGAAATATTACCAATAGACACTTCATCAAATAACTGGATCTCATTCATCCCCAAACAAAGCAAGAAATGTTAAGGTTACATCAACATAAGAAAATAACTCTGGATTTAATAACACCACAAGCCTGTTGAACATATTTGAAAGTAAAAACATTGCTTAATAAAACAGATTAGTGTTTCTGAAACAATGAATATAGCTTTCAACCATCAGAATGCTTTGGTAATAAAGACATTGGACTTGGTCTTGAAAGGCACTGGGTGTCTCAGTTCCCACATCACAGTCACAGCTAGAAGGTCTTCGGGTCCAAATATATTACCCGTAGTTTACTGCCAACATAGGACCAGGAATATTCTGTATCAAAAAGGTTTTAATAAAAGGAAAAAAGGAAAGAGCGTTTTGTTTGAGATCGCATTTGTGAATATATTCTTGAAAGTTTGCTCTCCTTCCATGTATGCATTCAAATATTGCATCCACATCTCCCACTAACGCTTAAAGGACTGAACGCACCCGTGCCCCACCAAGACATACAAGTAGACAACCCTGGTAACTTTTCAAAAACATCTAAATGCTTAAGGACTCCGAATTATTTTTTTCAAAAGGGAGTTTCAGTGGACTTTCAGTGGCTCCTGTCTCACAAGAATCTAAATGGGTACTAAGTAAGGATGTGCTGTCAAAAATCCTCCTAACAGCCCATCCACACTTTTACACGTATTTAAGACTTTTACAGCTACAGCTGCTCGGCTCCAGAAGCCTAACACCCACCAACTTTTAATGAGATCTGCAATATTAAATGCTCAAGTAACTTCTGAAAACAGGCCCTCAGCTGCTTCCCCATAAGCCCCCACGTTCTGCAGTACAGCTCACAGGCAAAGCGCAGCTTTCTCGGGGAGCCCTGCCCATTCCAGCGGTGGTCGAGGGAAGCATCGCTGAGCATTTAACATAGCACCAGGTCCTCTCTCACACTTCAGAGAAAGAAATAGAAGGAAAACAAAAAAAAAACAACCGGCCTTTGAAGCCCTGCTAAGCACAACTTCACACAAAAGCACTGAAGAGATCTGAATGTTCATTTAACTGTCACAAGGACTATGTTAATTAGTCCGTGTGGATTTTTGCAATAATTTCTTAAGACTCCAGTACTACTTTTGCTAAAACCAGTGAGGAAGCATGTGGTTCCTCAAACGGAAAAGAGGTTTTCTTATTCACAGTAATACATGAATAATTTACATATTTTCCTCCAGTTGCTGAATACATATTTCTACCTAGAGTTGCACAGTTTTTACATTTACTCGTGTTTCTACTTCATTCAACTTCTTTTCTGTACAGCTGCTAGGTGTTGAAAATAAGGCAGTTGCCTACTGACTTGCAAGATAATTACAACTGATGATTAAAGAATATTTAAGATGCATGTCTAAAGAGCACTGAAACTTCTTAAATCAAGTGTAAATAGAAATTAATGCCCTAAGGCTACAGGCATTACCATGTATTGCATCAAGATAACTGGTTTGTCCTTAAAAAGATAAGTAATTTAAAAGTGTAATACTTCAGACCATGAACCACAAAGATTCCACACAGACTTGTTCTTTGCTGTTTTTCAGTTAAGTGAACATTCCGTTTTACTAAAAAATTAGTTTACAAGAAAAAATCCACACTAAGCTAAGGATGGCTCTGACTTGTCTTTGGTGCTCCTTAAACCTCAGCCACGGCACATAAGCATGATGACGTTCTGAGATGCTTTCTGTAGAAGCAGTTGGCTGATCAACAAGACCTGGCTGGTGCTGCTGCACTGATTTCCACCTCCTGGTGCCCTCTCCAACTCCACCAGAGGTTCACACCACCGCGGCAGTCAGTGATAAACGATGCCAGCCTCCTGGTCACTCTGATGCAAAGCCCAACAACCTACCATAGATCCACCATCACTAACAGAATAAATATCAGACTTTAATTTTAACAGCTGAGATTTAGGACTGGAGCCTTTCTACTTTACTGAAGAGATGCTAGAGGAGGAAAGGCACCTGGGCCAGGAACTGTTTAACCATCACAGGGAGATTTGTCAGTGCTCATTTATCACTGCCTACACAGAGCTAGTCTGGAGGTCCTCATGCTGTTCTTGGACTACTTCTGTGGGACAAGCATAGCTAAACGAAACACAAATCACCTAGTCAGAGGCATGCCTGCAGTATGCCTACACCTACAGTTTAATCCCATACACTTTGGAGGATACACTGGTATCAGACAACTTCGTGCAACCATGTCCTAATCAAAAATTATAACAATTTTACCAATTTAGTTAAAAACCACAGAGTGTTAGACATGTTTCCAGTTCGACCTAACAGATTACTGTGATAATTTTTGGGTTTTATGATTTTTGCATTCCAGTGCCAGAATTTGCTGGCACATGCCAATTTTATTTTGGAGAGGATTATGTAGATAATGATGACGGGTACTACAACAGGACAAATTTCTCTTCAGTCTTCTCTGTTGAGGCCTGCTGTACAGAGTAGCCTGAACAATCACGGCCTAAGACTAATCCAGATCAGAAAAGCACTATGGTAAGGCTTCGTTAAGTCACAGTTCACTGAAGATTAAAACATTGTATTTACGTTAAAGACACTTCGCTGCAGCAATTGGAGGAAAACACTTTGAAAGAGGATGGCACTAGGCTTTTCGCAGGGATCTAAGCCTCCTACATGGTTCAAACTGAGGAAGGAGTTGAATGAGGATGTGGCCCTGCACAGAATGAAGAAAAATCTTTAGAAAAAGAGACTGTAGTGAGTCCATGTTGCACATAAGAACTTCCCAAAAAATGTCAATGTTATTGCCAGTCCTTCCCTGTGCAGGGCAACCACTGTGACTACAGTAAACTTCCCTCTGGAAGAGGTCAGGCCACAATGACATAACTGTATGCGTTAGAGCTTTGAACGCACCACAACAGAAACATCCTCATTTCATTTCAAGTAGTGAGGCAACCACTTCCCACCCTCCCCAAGCACAAGTGTAAAAGGAATACAAATTGTAATGAAAAAACCAAACAACCATCACTTACTCTGTCTTCCGTCTTTGCTTGTCTTCAAATATGTCATTCAGACTTATCGCCACCTGCCCCAAAAACTTGTCCAGCCCCACCAGTGACCTGTGCATGACGATCAGGTACAGGATGTATTTTTCTGGATTCTCCTGCATGAGTAATCCAGGGAGCTCGAAGGAGGCCTCTTCTTTCCAGACGGGATCCAGCGTCTTCTCAGCCACCGAGGTGGAGTACTTCTCCTTGCCCAGCTGTATGATGGTGTAGGCATCGTTGCTGCCATTTTTACCTTTCGGCTTCAGACCTTTGGCTTGAAGGACTGTGACCTGCACATGAGTCGGGTACCACTTCTGGGCTTGCTCTGCCAACATCATCTTCCAAGATCGCAGCGGCAAGAACAA